TTGGTATATTTTGGTATGGTATGATGTTAATCCTTGGTTCGGATGCTATTAATAATTTTGGTATGACTATGAATGACTTAAGTATGAATGTCTTGAGATATTTGGTATGTTGACTGCATGGTATGAATTGGTTTTAATTGGAATGCATATGAAGAAAGGAAAGCTCCAAGTTAGGGGGAGTAATTCAAATTACAGTATGAAAAGTGTGACATATATTGTATGTTTGATACAACACTAATTCGTGCATGATTCACTATTTATTGATTGGATGAAGTATGTGAGTCAACATCAACTAAGGTCCAAAATAAAATCCCACACACAAATAAGCTTTGGTCAGGTTCTAAAAGATTTAAAATTGCATATTTAATTTTCTTTATATGTTTAGTACGTATACTATGGGATGTTAATAAAATATTCATTTCTTTTTTCCCAAAGTATAATGATACTATTATTTTACCAAATAAATTGCCAATGGGGGATATTGTAAGTGTACCAAATAGTACATTTTAGATTGGCTAATTTATTAGTTTATTTCATTAATATGTAATGTTAATTAGTATGAGTTGTAATTAGTATTTTGGACCAAGCTAAAATGTGTGGTGGAGATTTATTGTTAATAAGTTGGACAAAGAGCAAGTATGAAGATCTCAAGTTAAAGAAGATGTGGTTGAGAAGAATTCAAGCCACATATGAAAGCTACAATCAAGGCTTGGTGAAATGGAAATTACGTACAGTACATAAGGAAGGGAAAACGAAAGAGGAAGTTGCCAATTCTAAAATTCTGAACACATACGCAAGCTTCCTATATTACTGCTTTAATATTGATTATGTTATATTTGTGATTTAATTCTGTACTTCAAGTCAGTACCTGTGACAGCTGAAGCGCTACACCAAAGATGGTTATGGCATGCACGGTTCAGTCCTGAATAGGTGTTTTAGAAGAGTTGCAGTGGTAAAAGCTGTGAGCCATTTGTAGTTACCTATTGTAATACTCTGTGGTGAACATCTAGTGGATTGGGCAGACGTGGGTTGCCCCGCAGACGTAGGAGAAGGAGCTCCGAACTGCGTAACCATTCTACTGTGTCTTTACTTTATTTATGCTTTCAATTTCGTTATTTATACGTTGATTAAATTGATTTAATTAAACAGCGAAATTGTCTCGTAATATAAAATCAAGTAGAATCCTTAGTGTTAAATTGATTTCAAGATACACGGGCTTTTTCATCATGGACCACGGTGCATAATAGATTATGCACCGCCCATCGATCAAAACGGCGCCGTTTCTTTAAGTAAAGAAACAGCGCCCCGTTTCTTTAAATAAAGAAACGGCGCGCTGTTAGTGTTAATGGAGTGACACTATAGTGTATCTAAACTGACACTGCCTCACGTATTATTTTTATATTATAAAATTAAACTGCAGTTATATTAAAATGATATTGTAGTTGTGGTGAAATGAAACTGCAGTATATATAAAATGAAATCGAATAACATTTCACATATTTGAGTGTATATTGTACAATGAAGCTGTAATTATATCAAAATGATCATGTAGTTGTGTTTTAATAAAACTATAGTGTATATAAAATAAAATTAAATAACATTTTCGCATATTTTAGTGTATAAATATTGAATGAAACTGTATTTATATCGAAATGAAACTGTAGTTGTGTTTAACTGAAACTGCAGTGTATACAAAATGAAACTGAAAAACATATTATTTTTTGCAGAACGACGCGAAACGGATTCTGTTTCTTTTCATAATGTACAGTTATGGAATTATGAACACAGAGCTCTGACATTATGAACATATAGTGATAAAATTATGAGCATATACTCCTATAACGAAGCGGTCTGAAATTTTAAAAAAAAAAAATAGTGGAAGATAACAGTGTCACTATTGACACTGTTATTGTATCCATAATGTATATATGCTAGACACAGGTCCATAGGATAATGATTGTTCCACTTTATTGTAGGCTAACATGACTTGTCGGCTCGATCGGCTTAACCCGTTTTAACAATTCTATCTTTAGATATTTCGACATGCATTCCCCTTTAGCGCTATAAAAGCCAAGTTTCATATTTTAGAAGGGACTTTTGGACTAAGCACCTTAGTATACATTCTGATCGTAGCAGAGGCTACCAACCTTGCTTGCTTGTAATCTTTAGAGTGTACGAAGGTCTTTCATCTATATAATCACTTATAGCTCATCATTTCATCCATTATCTCTATTATTCTACATATATATATATATATATATATATATATATATATATATATACACGTACCATATAGTCCGTACAACATATATGCTATCACACGCAACATAATTATGTAGTAGTATGTGGTACATATGGGTTCCAGTTCCACTTGTAATTTGTAAGGGTGATAGCGAACAGAGCTTTCGATAAATTACTCGTGTTCGTATTCGGTTCGTTTCTGTTCATTTATTAAGGTAAACGAACATTAACAAATAAAATTTAGAGCTTGGTTTATAAACGAACAGAGTCTGAACAGTTGTAAGCTCGTTTGCTAAGAGATCGTGAACAGGTTCGTTTGTGTTCGTTTAATAATGTTCGCGAACAAACTCGTTTAATGTTTGTTTAATAATGTTTATTAACAAGCTCGTTTGTGTTCGTTTAATATTTGTTTGTATTCTCTTTGTAGTTGTATTACTTGTTTGGTTATTTTTCATGAACATATATTATTTCTTGTTCACGATCGAATTGTGATCATGAACATGTTCATATATTTGGCTATTAACCATTCACGAACGTGTTTATGAATGTAAACGAACATGTTCGTGAACGTGTTCGTTAATGTTAACGAACACGTTCGTGAACGTTAACAAACACTAATGAACACTTAACAAATGAACACGAACAGAATTTTCAAAATCTTAACAAACAAACACGAACACTCCAAAAAACCTTAACAAACAAACACGAACAACCTTTGTTCGTTTATGTTGGATTCGTTAATAGCCCTACTTATTTGTAAATTTTCAAGAGTCTGTTAAATACACCAATTTGAGTTTGAATTGATTTGACTTCATACTCTCCTAATTGAGCAAAAGAATATTATGGTCCAATTCAATTTTAAAACGGGTCTGACTTTACGTGGTTCATCACGGCGTTAACGAGTAGTTATGCTGTGCATGATGCAAAAACGATGTCGTTTTATTAAAAACGCGCGTCTCTCCTTAAAAAAAATTCAGGTTCGATTCTCAACAACAGCATTATGTTGTTCATTCATTTTGGAATTTTAGTTCATAATGGAATTTTAGTTCATTGATTCTGGAATTATAGTTCATTGATTCTGGAATTATAGTTCATCGATTCTGGAATTGTAGTTCATCGATTCTGAAATTTTAGTTCATAGATTCTGGAATTTTAGTTCATTCATTCTGAAATTTTTAGTTCATAGATTAGATTATGAAATTTTAGTTCATAGATTCTGGACTTATAGTTCATCGATTATGGAATTATAGTTCATCGATTCTGAAATTTTAGTTCATATGTTGTTACTGGGAATTGAACCTAATTTTTTTTTTATGGGAAAACTCGCATTTTTAATAAAACGACGTCGTTTTTGCATCCGTATGCACCATGCATGGTGCATATAGATGCACAGCATAATTTGCCATAACCGTTACAGGCTGAGGCCTGTTAAATGGGCTATTATTCATCAATTTATTATGGGCCTCACCCATTTCAGATGGGCTTTGCACAATCCACCAAAATGTCAAGCAATCGTTATACAATAGACAATGATCCATAAACTGAGAGGTGTAGTTGAATGGATGAGACTCATTTATCATTAACTAAATGTTAAGGGATTGATTATTGGTCATGGATAGGAGTAGATTGAAATCTTCACGAGTCATTGTGTCAAATCATTATGGTCCACACAAGTTGTATGTACCATATTTTGTATACTGTAAAATGATGTACATTGTATTTAGGAGATGTACATTATTTTTATATTGAGTGTATATTATATTGTATAATATATATTCAGTACAAAAATAATGTACATTTAGTATATTAAAAATATACTTTTTGTTATGGTCTATACAACAATGTGTGGACCATGATCCCCACAATAATTTGCCCACTGTGTCTAGTGGGGCAATTTATATCCTACACCACGGCGCGCGTTGCACTATGCGCCTAGATGCAAAACGACGTCGTTTTAATTTTTTTTTTTTTTTGAAATTTCCCGCCCCAGTGAATGGCAGTAGTTTTTTCTTTAAAAAAAAAAACCCGCTATTCAAGAATGTACATAATGTTATACTAGAATACACATAATTGTATACATGAATGTACATAATTATATAAGAAAATATACATACTCTTTTTAAAAGATAATACACATAATCTAACATAATACATAATAAACATAAACTTTTAACATAATACACATCAACTATTAACATAATACACACAAATTTTCTGATTCGGATGTACATAATTGTATAAAAAGAATGTACATAATTGTATAAAAAATGTACATAACTGTATGAACAAATAAAATAACTGTATGAACAAATACACATAACTGTGTGAACAAATACACATAATCCCAGCAATTTCCTACCGCGCCTCCCAAAACGACCCCAAAACCACGTCGTTTTGGGAGGCGCACGGCGCACAGTGTTATGTGCGCTGTGGTGTATGGTATAACGATTGGTCCAGTGGTGGCAGTGGCATTGCCAAAATGGGACGTCCGGTCCATATGAACTGGCCCATTATGAGTTAGGTAGTTAAGCCCAACACCGATATGAGTGAGTTGGCAGGATAAACGGACCAACTCGTTAGTCCACTTTTTATTAATAATATAGTTTGTTTTTTTTTTCTTTAAGGGAAGAGGGATTCCCTACTACATCAACTATTACCACAAAACAACTTGGTACCCGTACACCATGAGTATTAATAACATAATTAGTGGCACTATTTTGAAATATTATTTTTCCATTAAAGCAGTATTGGAATCCTAATTAATTAATGATTTTGAGAACATCTTTAGCAATATTAAGAAAGGTGAGGAGAGAATCATCACCGTGACGGCAACCTGCAACATCGTTAATGGCATTCTTTATGCTATCTTCAACCGAAGGCACAAGCTGTTTGCTCTTCAATTTCCCTATGGCATCTCCGGCGTCCCCAACGACCTTCGTGTATGCCTCCGGGCATCTTTTGTCCAGACCGTCGGCGGCTTCCCCCAACGCCTTATCGAGGACGATTATGCTAAAGACTCTCACGTCACCGGCGGCGCTGCGGGGATCGGATTTTATGACGGAAATGCACAGATCGATCGCTTTGGTCTGCGCGCAAGCGATCTTAATCACTTGTGTGCCGTTCTGGGAAACTGCGGCGAAGGAGATTTGTTGGAGAAACAAAATGATGGATAGTGGTGTAAGGAAGGGAGACTTCATTTTTGGTGTGATTGTTCATGCGTTTTCTTTGTGTATATATAAATAAGTTTGGAGTCCATGTCCATCCTTACAAAAACCAATTTTTGTGCACTCCTATTTTACTACTTATTTGGGAATAAATTGAAAGTTACAACAATGTTATTAATTATAAAATACTACATAGAGAAATTTTCACATTTACTCGAATCCCTTTTATACCTAAGAGCATCCTCAATAGTGCTGACTAGAAAAGTGAAAATGGGAGGGGAAAAAAAGAAAAGAAAAGAAATTAAAAAGAAATTGCGCCTCACGGCTCTTCTCTTCAATGGCGGGTCCTACATCTCTGCAAAAATCCCTCATTTGCTGGACACCCTCACATCCTCTCTCTCTTCTAAGGTGGCTAAAAATTCTTCAAAAACTGTGATAAAGTAGCTAATAGGGATGTCATAATAGCAACCACATCGGTTAGTTTTTTCACAATATTTAAGAAGCAAAGTAGGAGAGAGATGAGGGGAGTAAAGAAAAAAAAAAAGAAAAAAAAAAAAGCATTCTGATGCAAAAGAAAAAAAAAAATGCGCCTAATAACGCGCTAGCGGGTGCATGCACGGATTATGAGAATAGCATGTATTATAAATTTAGAGAGAATTTAACTTTTCATTAAGTGATATAAAACTACAAGAAAATGTTAATACACAACATAACCACCCTAGCTGAAATTCTTCTCATGGATAACTTGGGCCGGTATTTAGGTGTCCCGTCCATCCATGGAAGGGTGACGGTCTTTTTCACGCCCTTAATTGAGAAAATAGATGCGAGACTTGAGGATGGAAGGGCAGGAACCTCGATCAGTTTGGCGGGTAGAGTAATCCTTGCACAAAGTGTGTTAACGGCAATTCTATTCTATATTATGCAGTCTATGTTGATTCCTAAAGGAGTACGTGTGTGACATTATTGAAAAGCAAATCCGTACCTTTATTTGGGGGAAGGGTGTCCACATGATCAAATGGGAGAATTGAATAATGTGACCCTCTCAAAAACAAACGGTGGATTAGGACTCAAAAGGCTTCAAGAGATTAATTTTGCGAGAAAGGGTCTATATTGCTTTAATATTATTAATTTTCTGAAGCCTTAGAAAAATGGTTTAGATATATAGCGCCACCAACCACAAGATGAGAGATGTGAATCGTAAAATCAATTAGCCAACATAATAGGAGTTACAAGAGACTCGACCAACAGTTGCGCACGTCCGAGGTAGTCCGCGATGGCGGCATTGCCTTGGCGAAGCATTTGAAACTGCCCCAGGAGACTAAGGCATCTCGCTTGGCTGGATGAACTGAGAGCCTGCGTGATCAATGCCCACACCTCCGCCGAAGTATTACGTCCGACTGTGAGGTGTAACACCTCATCGGACATCGCCGACACAAGAAGCGAGAGAATCGCTTGGTCTTGCTTCTCCCACGCTTTGAACGCTGGATTGGGAGCAACCACCGTAGTCGCCGCGGAGGAGGACTCACCGGAGGATGGCACGTCGATGGTCGCCGGAGGACACGGGATAGTCCCATCGACATAGCCGAGCAACTCTTGGCTCCGGAGAAAGAGGAGGAGTTGCGTACGCCAAAACAGAAAGTTGCGAAACGTGAGCTTCATGGACACGTAATGGTGTGCCCCGGCAAGAGGATTGGCGCCGGCCGGAGATGGAGTTCCGGCGGCCGACACCGTTCTTTCCGATGAATTGGACGACATTTGGTCTCAAGGTGATGGTAAGGGGGTAGATTTTCGGTCGAGATGGATTCGACACCTGACTGATACCAGATGAGAGATGTGAATAGTAAAATCAATTAATCAACAGAATAGGAGTTACAAGTATATCAGTAATAGACTTCTAACTAACACTTAGTAAAAGTCTAAACTAATTGTACTATTCTATAACAACATAAATACAACCATTGACTATTACAATGGTAACATAATAATAATAATAATAATAATAATAATAATAATAATAATAATAATAATAATAATAACACAGAATACATCATTTATAAACCGTAGCCAACAACGTATAACTAAGTAAACTGTAAACATTTCAATCAAAGTGCAGTCCTGATTCCTGAATAAACAAACCACACAAACACCATGGAATTCTTACACCAAAATGAGAACTCATGCCGAGCACAACAAAGCATTTAAGCAGGAATATATGATGGAGGGGACGATAGAAGCCACGAGCTACGGCTGGACGATGGACGAACGGTGCATGGGGAAGACGGCGGCGGCTGTGGGAGTGTTTGTTGGCTGGAATAGAGAAGAGAAAGGCAGATGCTCTGGGGAAGACGAAGGGCTGGGGCGGTTTTGTTCAAAAAAACCTTAACAATATGCGTTGCAGGTAGTCTTTCTACAAAAGCCGCCTGACAATTCTCGTACCCACATTGTTAAATTTTTTTGATCATTTTTATACTAATGGGTTTTGATATTTTTATACATTAAACAAAATATTTTGGTATCCTCCAGTATTTCAACATAAACCCATACACTCCATAGCTGAATTGTCTTCTAAGTTCTAAATTTAAGAATATATATAGTTTGGGCCTAAGATGCACAAACCACCCATTTATGATCACTTCAATAGATGTTCTCTTTCATATAACGAATGCATGAATATGATTTATAGCAATTCTTCATGATATTGTAAAGCATTAGCAAACCTTTCACGCAGATGAGACCCGAAGACTACTTTTTGGCCATAAAGTTCTAGTGAAAAAGTTCACACTAATCAACTTTTCTACAAAAAATTTTAAAATTAGTATTTTCAGAATTAGAAACAAATAATCTTTTTTGTGGTCTCGTTTTAATTTAAAAGGCTAGATCCAAGTTATTACTTTAGCATTAGTAAATAAAATTTATATATTTAGAAATTAGGTCAAAATTATTATTTAAACACAAATAATTCAAATTTAAAAATTATAAAAACAATTAGATAAAATTTAACAAAGAAAGAAGAGTTGATTTGATCACTAAATAGTAAACATGACATAAAAATGCAACAAAATGATTTTCTGTTTGTGATAGTTCATAAACAATAATGTTTGTAGACAATTAGGTTATTGTGGTTGTAATATTCACAACTTCACAACATCCCAAGTCCAAACGAGTTGTTATACCATGGACCAGGGTCCACCTTACAAGGTGGACAATGGTTCTATACAACTTATAAACTGTAGATTTTTAGTATTAGAATTGTGAACTTTTAAAATATAAATTGTATTCCTAAGTCAAAACACATAACAATTGTACTGTAGATGGAAATTTGTGAATACAATACATGGTCCTCAAATTCTAATATGTTAATATTGTGTGACTGCAGTATTTGAAAGGAACTTATTAATACAAAACAAGGTAATCAATTACATATATGTTAACCTTGTGTGTTTGTAGTATACAAATTGTGAGTTTTTGAAAGGTAAATAATGAACATTTAGTTAGTAAATTGTGAAAACATTTGAACTTGGATCCACCTTTCAAGGAGGACCCGGGTCCACAAAATAATTTGTGAACCCCAACCCCCTGGACCACATAACCCCCTTAAAGCCCATTCCTTTCCTAACCCATTAATTCTTTCCCTTCCAAATCTCCATTAACTTGGGAGCCCAAATAATGCTCCGCCCAATAGGCCTACAAGCGCAAATTATGCTGTGCAACCGAATGCACCTTGCAAGGTGCATACGGTTGCAAAACGGCGCCGTTTTGGTTAAAAAAAACGCGTGTCCCACTTAAAGAAGAAATCAGGTTCGATTCCCGGCAATAGCATTTTTATATATCCAGAAATTCATAACTATATAACCACAATTTCATAACTATATATCCACAATTTCATAACTATATATCCACAGTGAATGAATGAAGTAAAAATCCACAATGAATGAATGAATGAAGTAAAAATCCACAATGAATGAATGAATGAAGTAAAAATCCACAATGAATGAACTAAATATCCACAATATATGATTGAACTAAATATCCACAATGAATGAACTAAATATCAATAAATTCATAACTATATAACCACAATTTCATAACTATATATCCACAATTTCATAACTATATATCCACAATAATGCTATTGCTGAGAGTCGAACCTGATTTTTTTTTTTAAAGTGGGACGCACGTTTTTAATCAAAACGACGTCGTCTTGAACCGTATGCACCATGCGCATGGTACATTCGGTTGCACAGCATAACTATTGGCCTACAAGGGGGATAGAATTTGCAAGGCCATAAAAAAGAGAGTTAATTGGTAAAAATTGGTGCAGTGTCCCACTCACCAATGATTATTGCATGGACAATGGTCCACACAATTGTGTAGACTATAAATAAAAAGTACATTTTTAATATATTAAAGATACATTATTTATGTACATAAGGTATATTTTCTGAAAATATATTTTTAATATATTAAGGGTATATTATTTTATATAATATTCATTCAGTATAAAAATAATGTACCTTCAATACAAAATTAATGTACTTTTAATTAAAAATCTAACTGATATTCCTGATCCATACAATTGTGTGGACCATAATTTGCCCCCACTCATAGTGATTGGGTTTGACGTATGTGGATGTGAATTCATGGATAATTAGTTTGTTAAGAGAGGTCGACTTAAGTTTCACTTGAAGGCCAATTCCAACAAAAAACTTAGTTCAACGTGGTTGTTAGAAGGTGCGACTACACTCGTTTTGTTGGCAAATTATTGGCTGGACCATGGTCCAGCCAAGTTGGCTGAACCATGGTCCAAAACGACGCCGTCTCTCCATTTAAGGAGAGACGGCGCCGTTAGACATCTTTTAAAAAAAAAAATTCTAAATCGTTGGGGTGTTCTTCGCTCATCTCCGACAGCTTCTTCGACAGCTTCTTTGCGCATCTCCACCGTCTCCGACGCGACCTCCAGCGCGCGCTACTACAAACCAACGCCACAAAAACTTTCTTGTACACCGTTTCCGACGCCATCTCCATCTACTGAT